TAAGCCCCCCCCACAAAATGTGTGGCTATTGCATAATTGACATTCTCCAGTGTCACTAGAACCGGGCCGAAATAAATGTTATTTTAACTAGTTTTCTGATCTGAATGGATATCGTCTCCAGAATGAATCTGATTTGATATATATGATCTAAACTGATCTAAATTTAATAAGAATGAGCAATAAGTAGCAGAAATAACCTAATGAGAACTACATCTAAGACATGGATAGAAGATTTTGACAAGCAGGTAACTAGCAACTATGTTCTTCAAGTTAATCAGTTCAAGTGCTATTTATAAAAATGACTTAAATTTTAGTGTTATTTAATGTAAATATTTCTAATTTTTTATTTAAGTTTGCTTAGGCACGTTTTCAGCCTAGAGAAATCCTTAGGGTCCCTACCATGCACCATATTGAAAAAACAAATTATGACTGGTGGTGCAATTATGAAAAAGTTTGGAGGTAAAACATGCATTTTATGTATAATATAATTAAGAGTTTTTAGGAAGAATTCTTTTGCATCATTTACCTCTAAACTTTCGTAAAATGCATGTTTTACCTCCAAACTTTAAAGTGAGAAAAATACATAAATAGGATTAAAACAAAGCACTTTTCTGAAAATAGGACTAGTCCAAGTAACTCTAATGTTTAAATAGAGAAAAGACCAATTTAACCTTGTATGCCACTTACTATCAATTTCCTTCCACGCTGCATTTTCGGAATTACGGCCGAATTAAAAAGCAAAGAATCCCGGTAGTGGTAAAGAGCCATAAACCAAATTGTTACCATTTTAAAAAAGAATTCCATCGGCAAAAGAAAATATTGGATCATTAGAATGCCATTTTTCCACATCACGAAACTAATTTGGGTTTATTAAGGGCGTATTTCAATTCGCCAGGAGATTTTTTTCTATAATTTTTTTCTAAAGGAAATGATTTTGATACAATTTAAAAATAATTTAAGCAGTATGATTTGTTTTTTAGGCGCGACTGGAAACAAAACCTCCATTACAGAGCTCCATAATCAGTGGCGGATCCAGGATGTTAGATAGTAGGGGTCACTTTTCAGGTGTTCGGGAGGCAACGCCCCCAAAACTTTTTTTTTTATATATGCAATGTGAAACTTTAAAAAAATAATGAATTTAACCTCAAACAGTTATTCCAATAGTAATAAAAAAAATCAATTTTTTATTTAATGCCAATATTATAAATGAGTTTAATTATTACTCTTTATATTTTTAGTGTACTACTTTAGAATTTATCTTTGGACTTTTAAATATTTCATTTTAAAATTATATTCTTTTAATATTTAAATATTCAACTTCTCTCATTGTTCTCTTACTTAACACTATTAATTGAGGTCTCTAATGCTTTCAACTGGGATCTCTAATATTTTTTAGTTGGGGTCATGCATATAAGATACATGATTCTAAGAAACATTAAAAAAAAATAAGTATCACAATGCATATGATTTAAAAAAACTTAAAAATAGTAGGGGGCATTGCCCCAACTACTATAGTATGGATCCGCCCATGCATGTCCATGATGACTTGCGTAATAATTACTTGTCGCATAAATTTGTTAGTTGATTATGTGATCTTATTTTATACGAAGTCTAATGACAATATTTTTATTTTATGTATGTCTTAATGACATGAAAAGAACTTGTGATATTTTGAAAGGTGATGTGTGAAGACATTAAGTTATAAAATATTTTTGGACAATTTTCTATACGACCGAGACATAACGTGAGTTAATGTCTATATATTTATTCATTAGACATGATCGTAAGTGAACCTATATTAAGTTAATAATGTCTTTGGATGATTTTTTATATGGTGGAAGACATTAGGCTAGATAATGTCTTTATATTTATTTATTTGATATGCTCACAAATGAAATTCATGGAGAATATGGAGAATGGGTTGGTGTCCTTAAGAAACTTACGTAGTACGGAGTAATATTATTTTAAGAGAAATTTACTTAAAAAGCACTAAAATATAATGACTTTCTCTAATTAGCACCACATGTGTTTTTCTTTCCAATTTAGCACTTTTAGTCATTATGCATTAGTCATTATTCAAGCAAATATTCGACATCACTGGACATTATGGACATTATTAAGTGCTATTTAAGAAATAAAATTATTTAAGTGCTATTTAGAGAAATGACTTAAGTTTTAGTGCTATTTAATGCAAATATTTCTTATTTTAAGGACATTACACTTGTGAACAATAACCCATTTATTTGGGTGGATATGGCACGAAAAAAGAAATCGGAAGGATAAAATAATAATAATATTTTATGGATTGGTAGGTTGAAAAAAAGAGCTTAATGTAAAATATTGATATTACCCACCAAAATATTTTATCGCCATATTTGGACGAAAAATAATTAGACCAAAAATAAACATGTTGATGAGAATGCCTTGATGGTGGAATAAATCAACAAAAAAATGGTAGAAGATGGAAGAGAGGACCAAAGCTGGATGGAAAGAGTGGAGATGTGCGGTTATTGGAATGAATTATTTAGTTCTTAAAGAATACTCCGTAGGAGTTATTAATGGGGGGTGGGGGGTGGGGGGGGGGGTTATCTATTTAAATATGTAAAGAAAATATTAAAGTATAAACTAAAACACAACAACAAATTTGAGGCAAGAAGGGCAATTATGGCATCTAAGATAAAAATAAGTTCTATAGGGAAGAAAATATTATTAGTCCTATCTATGGAAAAATACTAACTTTTAATCTTATATTGAGCAAATGTTTCTTTAAAATCGTATAATTAGTTCCTATACTTTTTATGAAGTGTGTGTTTTACGCGTCAATTCTTCATAAAATTCTTGTTTTCTCCTTGAACTTTCAAATGTGCACCACTAGTCGAATATTTTTTAAAATGTTGCATGGTTTTGACTCTAAGAATTTCTCTTGGTTGAACATCTTTAACTAAAGTTAAAAAAAACTTAGATGACATTACTATAGGTTGGAATAATAGAATAATAATATTGCTTATTGAATTATGGAATACTTGGTAGAGTATATATATATATATATATATATATATATATATATATATATATATATATATATATATATATATATAAAAGAGACTCCTACATTACTAAGAATAGAGAATTGAAAGTAACTAAAATACAACATCTGCCATAAATAGGAATAGGAAATTGACTATAATCAAACACTAGCATAACTAATGCTACCATAATTATTATTATTATTGTCAAACATCCCTCTTCAAGCTGAACTGTGGCTGAAGCAAGAGGAAGCTTGGACCCTAGTTGGAAACTGAAAATGTTGAGAAAAGAGAAGTCAGACGTGCGTGGGTAGCTGTTGACGTTGATGAAGAAGAGAGAAGTCTGACATGCATTTGTAGTTGGTGACATTGAAGAAGAAGAGAGAAGTCTAACGTTCGCTGGTAGGTGCTGACATTGGAGAAGAAGAGAAGGCTATCAAATGTGTCTGTTTAACTGAAGATCCTTGACATTTTTTGGTTTTGTTTTGATTTACTTTGGATTTTTTATTGGTTTCACATAAGAGAAAGAGAAGAAAGATTGATGAACAATACGAGTAACCGAGAGAGCGGAAAAAGTAAATTAAGAAAAGGTGGTAGAGAAGAAGATCCGGTGGTGGTGAAATTCTCATCTGATAACAAGAGAGTTGCATATCGAGAAGAAGAAGAAGGCTATAGATATGGAGGGATTTGACCATGAGCCACTTGAGCAACTCCAAGACGTGATTTAGGAGGTTAAGCCCAAAAACCTTTGTTTTTGGGAAAACATTAACACATGGGCAACAAAGTTCCGATAGAAAAAAAAAATCACGGTCTTGGATGGAATGCAACAACCATACTCTAATTACTCTCTTTGGAAAGTATGAAGAGAATAAGAGATTGAAGATTGCAAGAGTAAGGAAGAACAATGGTCCGGCGAGCGGTTAATGGCAACATCGCCCGCTAGGAGCAAGTGCATAGAAATTTAGGTTACCAAGAACGGTGACTCCGATACCATGTTGGAATATTGGATAATAATATTGCTCATTGAAACATGGAATACATGATAAGGTATATATAGGTGAGATTCCCACACAACCAAGAATACAAGATGAAAACAACTACTCCCTCCGTCCCAAAAAGATTTACACGTTTTGACTAAAGTTGAAATTAAGGGAGAGATAATTTTGTATTGACTTTTCAAAAATACCCTTGATGTGATGTGTAGATTATTAGGAAAAGGGTATGATGTGATAGGTAGGGTTTGAAAAGGTAAGGGGTAAAAGTGGTTTTTTAATAGAAATGGGTAAGAGATTGTGGGACACAATTTTTTTGAAAGGTGTAAATCTTTTTGGGACGGAGGGAGTAAAATACAACATCTATTATAAATAAAAATAAGAAGTTTATTATAATCAAACACTCTCATAACAAATACTACCATTATTATTATTATTATTATTATTATTATTATTATTATTATTATTATTATTGTCTAATACTATATCTTAAGTCTTAACTACATGATTGTCCATGCCTTATCATGACTGAGTTGACATGCACATTTATTGGACTGTGTTACAGACGTCATTGAATTGATTAGTTTGTTTTTTAAAGTGTGGTTAAGTATGCTACTCAATAAATTCTTGAAATCTTAATATAATGTGGTGTTTTTTTGGAAAAAAAAGTTCATATCAATGGCACATTCATCAAGCTCTAGTAGTTATGTCGACTAAGAAGTGAGTAGAAGATTTTGACAAGCAAGTAATTAGCTGCTATGTTCCCCAAGTTAATTAATTTTTTATTTTAATTTGGTTAAAGACGTTGTTCAACAAAGAGAAATTCTTAGGGTTGTAACAATACACCATTTTGAAAACAAAATATAAGATGACTAATAGTGCATTTTTAAAAGCTTGGAAGAAAACATGCTTTTTATAAAAAGAAAATATAGGACTTAATGGTGCAATTTTGAAAGTTCGAGGGGAAACATGCACTTTATAAAAATTTGAGGATAAATCAAGCACTTTATTAAAAGTATAAGATCTAATTGTGCATTTTTTAAAATTCAAGCGAAAAAACATGCACTCTATGAAAAATCTAAGAGTGAATGATGCGAAAAATGCTTTTTAAGAAGTGAGAAAAATATTTTGAACTAGATTGCGTTTTTTATCATCAGTTTAATAGAAATTACAATGCATTTCTTGTTACTCTAGTTAGCATAAAAAAGATTTTAAAAAGTTATTTTATTAACATACAATTAATATTTATATATTTGATGATCAAATTTTGTCTAATTTCACTGCAAAAAAAAAAAAGAAATGAATATGAACAAATACACTTATATGGAAAGAGCAAAATATAATACTCCGTATAAATTTATTCTCAAAGGCAGGGCCAGCATAGGGGAGGAGCACCATGAGTAGTCGTCAAAGTATGTATCAAAGGCAGGGCCAACATTTTGTGTTAGTTTGGTGTACAAATGTACTCCTAGATTAATTCAAAAAATTTATGGGGCAAAAAATTTAGTTGGTAATAAATCTACCATGACAAGTCATGGGGGGTATTAGTGGTATTATAGTGGGGTTATTTTTTGCGTTATATGAATGGAATTCCACTACCCATAAAGTACTACAACGCAGTTGGAATATGTACATAGAGAAGCGCGAAGAGATTGAGACCGAAAGGATTGAATTGAATAGATCGGTATCAAACCGGAAAAGAGTGAAACCAAAGTGGTCTTTAGGACTAGTCTGATCTCGGAGTGCTAGTCCCATTTGGTCTCTTAATTGAGGGAAAGACTAGACTTGCTCAGAACCGGCAATCTTTTAAAAAATGACTAATTCAGGATCGGACTAAGACTATTTCAAATAACTAATTCAAATGTATAAGTTTATACTTAAAAAAATTGTTTGTTGTATTTAACATCGATGTTAGAAAAGTATATTTACGCATGAATACTTTATAAAATCAACAATGGGTAGTAATTGAAGAAGAAATTAGATTAAAAAGTACTTCATCTATTTCTAAATGATTGTCACAGTTTGACTTTTTTGGTCAAACTGTATCACTCTTTGACCACAAGTTAAATATAATTTAAAATAATTAAATATTACAAAAATTTGATATTTCAAAACTATTTTTTTGATATAAACCCAATTTTATCAAATTTCACATTACAACTAAATATATTTTTTCCATAATTCACGGTTAAATGGTGTCTTAGCTTGACTTACTGTGACAACCTTTTAGGGACGGAAGAAGTAATAACTATACCTTTTGGTTTTCTAAAAAACTAAAAATTAATATTTTAAAAATCATATAAAATCGAGACGTGACCAGATTAGGACCGGTCCTAGCCGGGCTACCCAGTCCAAAAAAGTCTCTATTTTTTAACAAAGACCAGACTAGTTCGGTCTAATTTTAAAAAATGATCGGACCAATCTCGTCTTAAATAGTACTAGTCTTTCAAAAAGACTAGTCCAATCCGACCGGTGCGGTCCTTTTGATCATCTCTATATGTACATAGTGTTAGCTTTGTTATGTTTTATTTTTGTTTTGTCCTCTTTATGGGTTGGCATTATTTTTGACAAAACACAACCACATAGAACAAGTTAGATGACTCAGTTTATGTTGTAGCATTTGATTCTGTCATCCTACTCTTCCTTGGAGTATATTGTCGTAACAAGGAGTCTAAAAACATCGTCTTATCCTGAAGAGTTGGAACGCCTCAAGTATCTCTTGCTTATGAAAGTCATTGCAAGCTCAATGTTTTGTTGGTGCTAGACTTTATCTCGAGCTTCGTATTTTACGGATCTGGGACACTCCCCGTTGTAGGAAGCGTCAAGACTCCTCTGTGCAATATACAAGGGCTACAAACTTCAGAGGCAGATATATGTATAAATATCCCACAGAGGAGCTACGGTGAAGGATGAAGAAAAATAGAATGAAATACGAGACATCCAGAAAAGAATGAGGTACATGATTAGAGATCACGCAACGTAACATTCTTCATCTTAGCGTGAGGTTGAACGTGGTGTCATGAAGTAATATTTCAGATCCTTATTTCCCAGGTGTATGATTCACGATCATATGTTGTCACACGAGTCCAGGAGTTGAGTATTGTGATGTCCTGGAGAGAAGGCTGAATTCACGTCCTTGGAAGAGACTGAGTGAGGGTGTAACATGCCATGGTGATAGGTGCAAACAGAGTTTGAAACCTGAGGTCTTACGTAAGATTTTTCTTTGTCAAAACCTTAAAAGGTTCTATGGTGTTTGATTTGTGTAGAACTTACCATGATCTAGTGGAGGGTTGTTACACGGACGTGAGTCTTGCAGACGTAGGAGATTCACCTCCGAACTGCGTGTCTTTTTACTATTTCTGCTGTGTGTGTGTTTGCGTGAGTGTTACCGCATTGCATTCGACACTTTGAAATTATCAGATAAATTATGACATAGTGCACAACTCTATGTGTGCGTTAAATTCTATGTGAATGAGGGTGAGAGGCACGTCTCATGTAGATTTCACATAGAATTAGACCATAATAAGAGAATCACAAAGATTAATCTGCAATAACATGAGTATTAATCGATGTTCATTGACTTGCCTTGCGGACTTCAACACAACACAATAACTAAAATAAAAAAAATATGAGAGAAAACAAAGTCAAAAGAATACAACTTTTTTTTTTGTTTTTGTTTTGCTAATTACTAGGCTACACCATGCCATGACAGATGGGTTTTCTCATCTTGTCAGGAAACTAATGAGTCTGTGTTTATCAATTATCTCGATCTCTTATTAATGGTTCCCTCTCTTCAATTCCCACCTACCATGAAAGTTTCATCTCTATGTACACTTTGTTTTTTATTTCCCCTGTAATTCCCCATCACTTTTCACCTGACTCCATATATATAAATATATGTATGTATATATAATAACAATAACCACACTCCCTTCTTGAACTGTCTTCACCATCCACTTGATTTGAAAAACCCATTAATAGAATGCTGTATTTTAAATGGAGATGAGCCAAATGTTATCTCAACCAGCATTGCCTTCTTTGTTTTTTCACTTGGGATAGAGTCTGATGGGCAAACCATTCTGGGGAAGGGCAAAGGGCCCATACTGTATTCCATTCTGTGGGCCCATGACAGACCACCTAAGCAGAACAAGGGAAAAACATCATGAGATAAACAAAACCTTGAGACTTTCTATTTTTAGCAGTGGTAATCACCAAAATGAAAAAAGGGGCTTTTGATCATATACCAACCTGTACTTTGTGGTTAGATGGTGCAGAAAGACCAAAATCTCCAGCTTGGCTAGTTCATTCCCAGGGCATGCGTGGGTCCCATTGCCAAATGGCAGGAAGGTATTGGGCTTTGGAGAAACCTGTCATGTCACAGCAGCAGGTTTTGGTTTTCTTAGCTCATGGCATTCGTGTGACTGTTGCCGGCCAGCCTAAACAAAATACTGCTCACAATAAAACTGTTTCAAAAAAAAAAAGTTTAATCTAATTACCTCAAATCTTGAAGGATCAAACTTCTCTGGATCTGGAAAATTTTCTGGGCTGTGATGAATGTTTCTGAACAAGGGCAACACCTTCCACCCTTTTGGTATGAGATAACCTGAAGAAAAATGAAACTCCCATGGATTGATGACTGGGTATGTAAGCCTAATAGCTAGCCTAGAATAAAATCTATCAAAGGGGAGGGTAGTTTGGACATTCTCTAGTATTTGGAGGGGTCAAAAATGACCTTCTAACTCGACATCTTCAACTGCTTCTCTGAAAGTGAAGGATAAGATTGAAGCAGCTCTGAGCGTTTCTTGAATCACTCTGGTAGTAACAGGCATCTTCTTGGAATCAGCCCAGTTCAGAGCCTTATCTTCTCCACTCTCCTCTTTTGACCTCAAAATCCCTTCTTGCTCTTCCTGCACAAAACCCACCACAACCACATCATATTAAGTAATCACAATAACAACAATTGAAACAAATTAAGAAACAAAAAAAGATCAGATTTTTTTTTTTAAAAAAAATCTTACTGTGACAGCTTGAAGAACACTGGGGTTTTCAGCAAGGTACTTGATGGCCCAGGTTATAACACTCGAAGTGGTGTCACGCGCAGCGAAAATGACTCCGATGATGTTGTCGGTGATTTGATCGTCGGAGAGGCTTTCCTTGTCTCCCATGAATGATCCCAGCAAGTCGTTGTGGATTTCGCCGTTCTGCCTTCGAATTGAGAGGATTTTGGCCAGAATCTTCCCAAGCTCTTTCCTGGCTTTCATGGCCTTGTGGAAGAGTGTTCCGGGGAGATTGATGGGCATGGAGTTGTAGCTTTTCTCTAGAATGCAGTAATACCTCTTCAGGTCCTCCCTGTACAGACCTTCATCCTTGCCGAATATCGAAAGCAATGCCACATTGAAGGTGTACTGATCGCATACAAATATAAACCACAATCAATTCAGAATCTAAACTGAAACAGAGGAGGAGGAGGAGGAGATCCTCTCTGAGGCAATTCATCGAACAGATGGTAATATAAAAAAACGCGTACTGTTTTCATTTCTTGGTAAGTGTTGACGACCCGGCCTTCCAATGACCGGAGAGTTTCCACGGCCATGGAATCAACGTCGGGGACGATGTTCCTGATGGACTCCGGCATGAAGGCGCGGAGAACAAGCCTCCTCAACCGGGCATGGTAATCTCCCTGGTGAAAGAAAAGCCCCTGTTTCCCCAAAATCCTCTCTTTGGTGGCCGGAAATGTGGGCTTGAAGAGGTCGGCCTTCGTTACCAGCACGCTCTTCACCGCCTCCGGGCTCGAAATCATCACGCAACGGCAACCCAATATGTGGCTCTTGAATATAGACCCATACCTAAAAAAAAATCAAATCTTTTTAGTTAAAGAAAAACACGTACCCAGAAAACTAATAAATCAAACCAATCGAAACCATCCCAGAGCGTTAATTTGGCACTCACTTCTTGACCTTGGAGGCGAAGAAGACATTGGGGTTCTGGGAATAGAGATGGAAGGTCTCGCCAATGTAAGGCCAGCCCAGAGTGCCCGGCGGGAGAGGGAGTCGGGCAGGGCGGAGAGTGAGGAAGTTCAGGACGGAACGGAAGAAGAAGAAGAAGAAGAAGGGGAAGAGGAAAGGCAGTGAAACAAGAAACATGGAGGAGAAAACAAACTCCATGGCAGAGAGGGGGTAGGGAGAATGAAAGTGGAGTGAATGGAGTGAAGGAGAGATTATTATTATTACAGATATATATATGTGTACACACACACACACATGTATATATAGGGTGGGGGGAAAGTGGAGGGGAGGGGAGGAGATATTAAGTTGGGTTTCAGTTACAGCTCGAAATCCACACACGGAATCTGATTCCAGCTCATTCTTTGGTAAAACTGATTGCACTGGCACGTGTACGTTTGTGTTTTCTGGTTTATTATCATGGCGAGAGGAGAATACCTACTTCAGCGGGACGACGGTGATCACCTTCTTTGTGCTTCTCTTTAATTTCTTTTCCCGCTTTTTTCAATGTTATCTATTCTATTATCTATTACAAATTTACAGTAATGTAGTATCTCATCATATTATTCTCAATTTAATGACACATAAAAACTCAATACCACTGTCTCTGTTGGTACTCGAACATGAGTAGAGTTTTCTATGAATACTAGAGAGTGGACTTCCTACCGCTCAAGTCATAGTCAGGCAAAAAACTCTTGTACTTCTGACTGGTTCTTTGGTTATAAAAAAAAAAAAGTTCGGGCCGGAACCCCGCGCATTATCTATCTTTAAATACTTTAGTTTCTTAAGTAAATATTAAGGATTCATTTCACCCATCCATTTACCCAATTTAGAGCCTGTTCTTTAGAACTTGAACTCTTAACTTCCAGTTTCTTCCAGTTTATTCTAGCTCTTTCCAGTTCTTCCCGTTTTTTCAGTTTCTTCCAGTTCTTCCCGTTTTTTCCAGTTCCTTCCAGTTTTTTCTAATTTCTTCTAATTTCTTCCAACTATATTTATTTTCTTCAAATTTTTTCTACTTTCTAACAAATCACTCTAAAAAAATATATTATTATTATTATTACAACTTTTTTTAATTACAACTTTTATGTTCATAACTATACTTTATAAATTATTTCATTTTTTCATCTCACTATTTTTATGATTCACATTCATTCTTCCAGTTTCTTCAACTTTTTAATATGAATAATACCGTTTTTTGTATATTAATCTACATGAAAAATTAGGAAACTATATAAAAAATTATGGATAAATAGTTATAAAGAAAATTTTTTAATCGAAATTTATATAAGGTAAATTACATTTAAGGGTCTGGAAGAATAATATTATGAAAACCAAGAGAAAACTACATTTTAAAAAAGAAAAAATGACCCAAGAAGTGTAATATTTATGCTAATTCTATATTCTAATTATTTTTTTAAACTATATTTTTATATACGAAAAATAATACTCGTAATTTTTTTTTTATATTAAAGACAATCATTAAGATAACATGATAACACCACCACTACCACCACCACCACCAACAACAACAACAACAAGAATAATAATAATAATAATACTATTAATAATAATAATAATAATAATAATAATATATAACAACAAGAATCAGAATGATAATAATATAAAAGCACACATAAATTTTTCTAAAAAGTTTTTTTTAAGATTTTTCAATTTTTTCTAGTTTTTTCAGTTTCTTTTAATTTTTTTCAGTTCTTCCAGTTTCTTCCAGTTTCTTCCAGTTCCTTCTAGTTTCTTCGAGAATCTTGCAACATCCAGCTCTTTTTTTCCAGTCCTAAAGAACAGACCCTTAGTATTTAGGCCATGTGATGTGCACGACGGGGAAGGGGAGGAGGAAGCCACGTGGCACAGGAAGGAAGGAAGGGCAACCCCCCCCCCCCCTCCCACCACCTGTAGTAGAGCGGGAACCCCTTCATGTTTTTCCCGTTGGCCTTCAATGGTCTTTTTTTTTTAGAATTAGCCATTACAATTTTAAAAAAATCAAAAATTTCCACTATGTAAACACAACACTCCACTCATATATTTCACACACTTCACATCTATTTCTTTGAGTTTGAGTATTTTTATTCTTAAACATTTTTCATATTTTTAAGAACGATGGATCTATTCTGACCACCGGTTTCTTCCTGTGGTTCCCTCTTTTATTCATTTGTGGCTTACACTCAAGGGCCGAGTTACTATTCAAATGGTAAACTTTAATCTCTTTTATTTTACCTATTTTTGTTAGTCATCATTTGATAAAATAAGATAATTATTTCATCTCTTGTTTTATAGAACTTTTGATTTGATTTTATATGTATGTGTGTGTGTGTTATATAATTTCTTAATTATACATTAACAATCAAAATAATTTCAGTTAAACCTTGTAAACAGAAATATGAAGAATGTTTTATGATAGAGAGAGTATGACTAGTTATTACAACCTCCATCCTAAAACATTGTTCCCGTTTTGGTTTACGATTTTTAACTTAAGTTATTTTTAATTCCATTTATTTGATTATAGATGTAAAATTATAAAATAAAAATTATACTCCCCCCGTCCCCCAGTTTTTGTCCACTTTCATTTTTGCAAACCATCCAATGATCCAATGCCCTTTTTTAATCCATTTTATCTTGTGATTTGTATTTTAAAAAATTATATAAATTATATATTAATAATCTATATGTTAATACAAATCAAACAAGATCACACATGACTATATTTAGGCTTACACATTGAGAGAATTTGATGAGTCAAAGTCCTTAGATGAACAGTTCTAAAAGTCAAAAGTGGACAAAAATTGGGGGACGGAGGAAGTATATTTAAAAAGTGCATCTAAAACTCTACAAAACAAGATGTGACATGACACCAATTAGTTTTAGGATTGAACCCATATGAGCTTGTATATTGGACCTATTGCGCAAATCTGCACGAACTAGTGTGTGTCCCACACAATATGATCAGCCTAACGAACTTTATCGTGGTATCAGAACATGTTTGGTTTGAGTTTGAACTCCTGGCCTAGGTGGCTGCCTGTCATAAGGCAAAAAAAAGAGTTCAAGCGCAACTCGTAATGTTGCGAGGTCAGGCAGTTGCACACTTTCACTTCGGGGTGGGGGGGACGTGGTGTTGGGAGTTCCATCCCACATCGAATAATAATAATAGGTGTCCTTCCTATAATAAGTTTCATGATCTTTCCTTCTATCTCCAGTGATTTTAGGATGAGACCCCATGGCTTGTGTATTATTATATTTGACCTAGGGGTGTTCAAAAATATCTGATTCGAAATATCCGCCCATGATTCGGGGTCAGATCGGCCCGAATCGGATATTATTATATTTTAGCTTTCAGATATTTCGGATCGGATATGGAATGAAATATTAAGATTTCATATTTTAAAAAAATAAATATAAAAATAAAGCTTAGACAACTTAAGGTCAATTCATTTTCATCATCATAAATATTTGAATCTAAGATTAATTGAAGTTTTTTACTTTAGTATTTTCGTCTATGTTTTATTTGTCAATTATGTTGATATACTTTTTTCATACATTTGTAAAATTATGACTTATGATAACACTATCAAGGTAATTATGACATTTAAAATAAAGTTGACTTCAAATTCAAGTCTAATCTATGACATCTGCTATTTTAACAAATAAAAAATAATTCTAAATACTTTTTTAGAATTATTGGAAATTTCGGATATTCCATTGACCCGCTCCAAAATTTCGGATATCCAAAATTCGGGTATCCGGTAATTTTCGGATCGGACATGGAATAGATATTACCGATCCGAAAATTTCGGATGTCCAAAAAACTGGATCGAATCAGATCGGATATATCTGAATGAACACCCCTAATTTGACCTATCGCACAAATGCCCATGAACTAGCGTGTGTCACTCACGCTATGATCGGTCCACCGGACGTTTATCACAAAGACTAACTTGTCAAACACGGACATCATGGAGAAGCTTTGTTTGATCAGAAGCAAGCACAAAAATGGGTTCTTGTGAATGCTCGATACATACAAGACATCAATTAGCATGAGCTACTTAGTAAGTCAAGGTCATCTTGAACAACACAACTTCTTATTAATTTCATTCGATCGTGCATGTTTTTTCAATTATAATCTCTCCGTCCCGGAAAACATGAGAGTTTTGATTTTGAAGATGGATTTAAGGGGAGTGTATTTTGGTATTGAATTTCCAAAAATGTCCTTTGATGTGATGGGTAAAAGTCTGATTTAATGGATAGATTTTTAGTAAAAAGGTATGATGTGATAGGTAGGGTATGAAAAAATAAGAGGTAAAAGTAATTTTTAATAGAAATGAGAAGTGTTTTTAGGGACGGATGAAAACAGAAAGGAAAAAAGTTTTCAGGGACGGAAGGATTATAAGTTAATCTAAAAAAAGGGTTTTGATAATTTTAACTAGTCGCATGTAATCCTACGGGTGCACATTTATCTGTAACACAAAAGTCATGGCCTGGGGTTTTTTTTTTAAACTTTTATATGGTAAGAGGAAGTTTATTTGAGTCCTTCATGGTCAAATAATTTTTCAAAATGATGCAGTCCCGAATTTTTGAGTGGGGCATTTTATAAATAAGTTTCTTTTTATTTTCTCATTTTGGTCTAATTAGTTGTAAACTTAATTATAATTACTTCCAATCAATCACAAATCTTTTGATTATATATTTGCTAGCATATATAGCTTGGATGATTTTCAAGATCAAGGTGGTTAGATGATTCCAAAGGAAATTTCATAAGTTCTTTTCCACAGATTTTGTTAAGATGATTATTATTATCAGATCAGTGAGGCACAATGTGTTAATTTCTGTATGTGTGATCTTGATGCGACGAAACGGATGAAAATGATTAAGATTTAAACTCTCTTAACAAGTGAATGATTAGAATCTCACATTGGCCTTTCAAAGAAAAAAGAATCTCACATTGGAAATTATTTATTTTTCATTTGTAATTTTTGTGTTTATTGAAATATACGTCACTCATGACCTCAAGAGATGTGTAGAATGGATTCATCCTTTCTTACCAAATGCATGATACTAGCTAGTTGAAATGGCCATCAAGCTATAGAAAGGCTAAAGCAGAAAATACACCAATTTCCAAAGCTATACCCAATGACTCATATCTATGGTATAGTGTGTAGGGACACAATCATACAAATGTCAAATGTTTCTATTGTTC